AAATCTAAGAACGGGTTTAGAGATTAATAATAATGAACTTTATATATATATATATATATAGGTACATGCATCTTGGTTGAAGCCAAAATAAATCCATCCTTATATATATTTTGATTTTTGCTAACAATTTCTTTTAATTTCCTTAAAGATTATAAGGAATTAATTTGTCATGATCATTTTTTTTTTGTTAAGATATGTTCAAACCAGTTCTTATATATTAAAATTAATGTCTTTTTATTAAGTTTTAAATATACTATATATATATATAATTTAAACAGTTGTATTTATTAAAAAAAAAAGCAGAAATAAATCACTGCTTACCATTCAGGCTAAACTGACATATAAATGTTCAATGGATTATACTATTCTGTTGCCAAAACAAAAAAAAAAAAAAAAAAAAGAAGCTAAAATAGAAGGTAAGGATACCGCGGTCACAGGCATATTTTACTATTTACTGTGATAGTGTAATTATTTTTTTATCCTTTCTAAAAACCAATGACTCCGGTGCTGTTGAGGGTATTTCTGTTCTTTTGCATGGCCCATCAATGGCCATTACCATATTTAACTGGAGATGTAATTGTCTTTTTATTTTTTTAAACATAATTATTTTAATTATAGCGTGTACAGCACGGGCTCAAGCTTACATTGTTAATTTTTTTTTTATTCAGGTATCTTATATCTTTTGAAAAAATAAAATTAGTTTCGTTTAGGATTTAGAATTTGTAGTTGTCCCTCTTAATAAAAGCTCTTTTTAAAAATTAAATTTATATTCTCATTCATGCATCATTAACTCTGAATAAGGTATATTCGGTGATGTTGGCTTAATTAGTAGTTAAAATTAAGGAAGTGTTGATTGCGTCTCAACGGCTGATACTCCCAGGTTCTAGATTAATTAATCATGATTGTTTGGGGGATGGGATGTATGATGTATCCATCTACAAATAGTTTAATAAATAGTCTAAAAAGCTTAAAATTAATTGATTGTAAATTGAAGGTAGGACAAATTTGGTATATTTTTGTTGTTGGCTTAGATCCCAATCTCGTAAAATGGAATCTTATATGAAAATAAATTCAAATGTTTATTAACTTTATTAATCTCAGTTGTTCCTGGCCAATACGTGAAAATCAATATAGCTATAATTCCTAATTAAAAAGTCGGCTTGTGGATTGGCGGAGTCAATTTAATATTTTTTTTATTAAAAGAATATAGTTTTATAAAAAAAACGAATCAATATAGTTTTGATAAAAAAATTTTATTTTCAAGATAAACCCGATTCAAATTAGATTCTAAATCAACAAGTTATGGAGTTGATCCTTTGAACCATACCATGTTTTACGATAATGGTTTAAATTTATAATTTTAGTTTAATTCAAAATTATATTAAATTATGACCCTAATAGATGTTGTATATTCTCTACTTTGCTATTTGACATTCCTACTTCTATGATATTAAAAATGTTAAATTGGTTTGTAATGAGGTTAGGTATTTTTTTTAATTAATGTAAATATTTAAATTAGCTTGTACATAGCTTGATTAATTTTACAAGCCTTGAAATTAATGATTATATAAATTTTAAGTGATCTTAAAATTTATAAGATTCAAATTAGTAATTTTTAGCTAAAAAATAAAACTAAAACCTCACTAGTTTAGCTTTAACTTTCAAAATTGTAAGGTATCTTCTTCTTACCTAACGAAGAAATGCCATTTCATCTGTTTCTTGTTGTTAGGTATCTTCTTCTTATCTAATGAAGAAATGCCATTTCCTCTGTTTCTTTCTCTTCATGACGCAGAGCATGATGGGATCACAGTAACTGATCTCTCATGCTTGTACACAAGCCTGGGTATATTTTCTTCTAGTGATGGGCATCTTCTTTTTTAAATACTAATATCTCATCCAGAAGGGCATCTTCTAACCACAACAGCAATTTATTGATCTGGGAATAATTATTTAGTCATAGAATGAGCATATTCAGTGAAGAAAGTAGTGTTGATTCCATCATGCTTAACAAATATTTGTTTTGTAAAGTTAGTCCCGAGTAAACCCTAGAATTAATCTTCATTGTTTTATTTATTTATTTATTTATTAAAGAATTTCAAGATTAATCGGTGCCGTAAAGAAATGGGTCTGATGGATAGTTTATTGCCGACAACTACATTAATCATCCTCAAGTAGTGAGACAAATGGGAATACAGAATCAAGCGTGCTTGTGTAGTTTAGTCTGGGGATATAAAACATGGTATAATTACTTGTTGATTTTTGTTTCCGAGAATATTTTAAAATTAATATA